GTCCTTCAACCTCCCCCCGCCACAAGGCCCCCCCCCACATAACCCTACCAGATCTCCGAGCCCCCCATCTGATCCCCTTCCTCAGGATCTCCAAGCCCCCCCGTGATCCTCTCCACCTGATCTGTGAGCGTCCCCACGAGACCCCCAACCCAGGGATCTTCAAGCCCCCGCCCATAGTCTCCCCCTCATGACTCCCCACGCCCCCCACCTCATGACGTAGGAGCGGAAGGGGGCGCTCTTGTAGATGTACTGGGCCAGCCACCACTGCACACTCATGTTCCAGTACCGCATGCCGTCCCGCACCCGCACGCAGAAGTCGGTGCCGTACGGGTCGATGTTCTTGATGGTCTCGTAGTCATACTCGGGGGGAGCCACCCCTGGTGCCCCCTCCTCCGCCCTGGGGTGGGGGAGAGCAGTCAGTGACAGGGATCCCAGGGCCGGATGGGAGTCGGCACCCCTTAGAGGGGACAGGTCCCAGGACCCATTTCCCGCCCCCCTGAGCCAGCCAGTCCCTGCCCTGGGGCCGGATCGGGGCCAGCGCCCCCTAGAGGGGACAGGCCCCAGGCCCCATTTCCCGCCCCCCTGAGCCAGCCAGTCCCTGCCCTGGGGCCAGATGGGAGCTGGCGCCCCCTAGAGAGGACAGGCCCCGGGCCCCATTTCCCGCCCCCCTGAGCCAGCCAGTCCCTGTCCTGGGGCCAGATCGGGGCCAGCGCCCCCTAGAGGGGAAAGGCTCCGTGCCCCATTCCCTGCCCTGGGGCTGGGTGGGAGCTGGCGCCCTGGAGAGGCAGGCCCGTGGGTGCACCTGGGACAGTAGGTGGTGGGGCCCCCGCCGGGGCGGGCGCGGGCGGCCGTGGGGTAGGCCCCGAAGGCGGCGGCAATGCAGGCACACTCGGCGCAGAGCCAGGCCACGTAGAAGCGCATGCGGAAGACGAAGAAGACGGGCACCATGTAGAAGAGGCGGAAGGGCAGCGCCCGGGCGGCGAAGGCCTCGCTCCGCACGTACTCCAGCGGGAAGAGCCGGGCTGCCCCCAGGAAGAGCAGCCCGTAGACCGGGACCAGCCTGGCCCGCGCCAGCAGAGGGCGCCAGCTGGGGATGGCCTGCGAGTCCGGCTGCTGCAGCCAGTCCAGGTGGGTCCTGTAACGGTAGAAGGGGCCTGGGGGTGCGTATGGGGATGGAGGGTGGGGGGAGAGGAGGTGGGAGGGGAGGGGGGGGCAGGGGTGCATATAGGGATGGAGGGTGACAGGAGAGGAGGGGAGGGGGTGCGGGGGTGCGTATGGGGATGGAGGGTGACGGGAGAGGAGGTGGGAGGGGAGGGGGGGCAGACGAGGAAGGAAGCCGGAGGGAGGAAAGAACGAAAGGGGGAAAGGAGAGAAATGCAGTTAACGGTTACCTGTGGAAAAGACTCCAGCCGGACCCCCTCCCACCACAGAGCTGGGGAGAGAACCCAGGCGTCCTGGCTCCCACCTCCCCCCTGCTCTAACCACTAGCCCCCACTCCCCTCGCAGAGCCAGGCAGAGAACCCAGGTGTCTGCCCGCCCCCCCCTGTACCTGTCATGAGCCCCACGTAGCAGTAACTGTAGCAGAGGATCGGGCCCAGCCCCGGCACGCTGGGGATCAGCCCAATCGCGGGGCCCTTGGCGAACGAGGTGACGTCCTGCTTCTTGGCCTGGCTGATCTCCTGCACCTCATTGGCCAGGCTCACCATCTAGGGCAGGGGGAGCAACCCACGGGGTGAGCGCCCCCTACGGGACCACCGCCATGGCACCACGCCCCCTAGTGCCTCACCACCACACCACACGCCCCACCATCACACCCCCCATGCCCCACGGCACTGCGCCCCCTAGTGCCTCACTACCATACCACACGCCCCACCACAACGCCCCCCACACCTCACGGCACTGCGCCCCCTACTGCCTCACCACCACACCACACGCCCCACCACCACACCCCCTAGTGCCTCACCACCATACCACATGCCCCACCACCATGCCCCCCACGCCACGCCCCCTAGTGCCTCACCACCACACCACACGCTCCACCACCACACCCCCCACGCCTCACAGCACCGCGCCCCCCACCCCACGGCACCGTGCCCCCTAGTGCCTCACCACAACACCACACCCCCCACACCATG